GGTGCTCTGGTGTGGTTTGCTTCTTCTTTCCTATCAAACATCTATCGTCCTTTATCTCCTCTCCTTCTTTTTTATATTTTTTACTCTTGTATCACCTCTAATCTTCTTGTGCTCTTATGACCTTATGCAGTCGTGAGCGCTGTAAAACTCGTACTAAAACTAAACAAAAATAAAAATTTTTGTTGTGTAGTGAATGAGGTTCTTGCCTCCTCTGCTGATTCTGATACCTATCGAAATTGTCCACGACGGTCTACCCATTACTGAGGGTGAGAGTGGTTGTCTTAGGCAGGAGAACATCTTAAACTGTCGTTCTAATCATTTTTAAATTGTGCGGGGGTGGGGGGGGGGGGGTGGAAGAGTGGTTGTTTGTGCTTCCGACTCTTCCTGTCCGGGCCTTCCAGAGAGATACAACTACTGAGCAGAAAGACTGAGATCGTTGATTAAGAATTATCCCCACTCAGGAATCGAAGTTTGCTCGCCTGCATGTGACAGTGAGGCGCCTAATAATATTAATAATAGTAATAATATTAATAATAGTAATAAATAATAATAAATAGCACTTGTATAGCGCATGTCCCCACTCGAAAGCAAGCTCTGTGCGCTTTACACCATATTTTTACTCCAGCAGACCATAGAACACTCAGAAACATTCTCAGCTTCCCGGGAAGCATACCATGCAAGCAGCTGGTTAAGCGCTCAAACACTAACAAACTGAAAGATCTTTCACTGTCTATAGCTGGGTACCCATTCCCACCTGGGTGAAGTGGGGAAAATTCGTCTAAAGTGTCTTTCCCAAGGACACAACATCGGGCCCGCGGATCGAACCCCCAAACCCTCAACCTCACGATTATGAGTTTGGTAGCCTAATCACTGGGCCACCGACGCCAGCTAACTGCTACACCACAGGCGCTGGTGATACATCGGTCATATATATAGGTCACGACACGGTGGAATCAGACGCTCTTCAATTTTTGGGAATGTGGAGTTATTAGTGTCATCTGAAAGCTTATGCATTTGCCCTGCTTTCAAAGAAACAAATACCCATCTCTATCTTGAATAGAAGTCGAGATAGTTGCGATTGAACGAGGTGCTGTCGACTCGTTTGAGTGGTAAAATTAGCGAGAAAATGGCCGTAAACGTTTGTTAGCTTCAATAGCTTGAGAGTCCCAGAAAACTGAAAAATTACGTATTTTGTACTTTTAATCGTTTTTTTCCAGTAAAATTCACATGGAAATGTGTTTTCATATGGACATAAAAGGTGTTGAACAAAGAGCAAAAATTCGATAAAAATGGCCAAACTGGTGGAAAAAATACCCGTTTCGATTTAATTATTTTGACGAGCGCCTGATTTCACCATGATTCCTCTCTCACATGTTCATGGACAGCGATCGCACACAAAGTGTGAAGAAAAACACACAAGCTGATAACCCCTGAGGTCTACACAGTGACCACAACAGACAAAGAAAGAAAGAAAGAATAAAAGAACACAACACATCAGGGTTCTTTGAGGTCCTTTGCAGTACATCTATTTCTGAAAAACTATTACATTTTACACAATAAAAACAAGATCAAAGGTGTCAAAAAGTGACCTGATTTTGAAAAATTATTACAATAAGCACAATAAAAATATGTGTCAATTGTAAAATCAAAAGTGTCAAAAAGTAATCCAATTTCTGAAACAGCGCATTTTTCTTATTAAACTTATTATGTATGAAAGAATGAGATTTTCAGCAGTTTCACTTCAGCAGTGCAGGAAGAGGATCTACAACTACAATCTACAACAACATACAACACATTAGACACTCGTACATGTGGGAATGGTCAACAATTGCACGTATTTGGAATGAAAAGGTGAGTGGAACAAGCCTCATCTTAACCCGTACTCTGTCCACCTGAGCCGAGACTGAGTCCACCATTTCGGAACTTCACGGTGACCGTAAAGATGGTTCCAGCAGGGAACGGGATACAGGGTGCCAACATCCCTCGTGACTCATTGGAGCAGAGGAAGATAGGACTAATTCTAACATTACTTAAATGCAATCCCACATCATCACCACCATTATTTAGTTTCTAAAATCATCACCGCTCTCAGATCAACGACCTACATCTACAAACCTGAAATCTCTATCTACTATTACAGTTACTTGTTTCACTAAATATGCACGTAATACACTATTGGACACTATCAGTATCATACGCACTTTTTTTCTACTAATCAGATGGCATCAATCTCATATAAAAATGGGCAAGGGATTAACCCCCCCCCCAAAAAAAAACCCAACAAACTCTTACACTGTCAAGGCCAGGCTATTCTTAGCCCTCACCTCCCTCTGGCTAAGGCAACTGGAGCCCATGACCGTTCAGGCCCAGCCAACACCTACTGCGCCCCAGTCTGCAACTTTCTGTACACAATAAAACATTTCTATACCGCTTTTGTTGAAAGTTTTAGATGAGATCTTTACTTTGCTTACTTTTGCGATCCAGCGGCCATTTGGATTCTAGCCCTTCAGCCTGTCGACATGGCAAAGAATTTACAGGTTTTTATCATCTGTGTTTTGTCGCTGTATAAAGTATTTCCGACATCTAGGGAGGTGCTTCGCAGGTCGCAAAGTGCAGGGCAGCTAAAGAGATGGGCAGTCAGGTTGGGTATCCTAGCGAATCCTATTTAGGTAGGAATTCAGTGGGATGTGCTGCTGTGTTCGCAGGCGAAATAACATGTAGGATATTTTTCAGAGGCAAATGGATAGATAACAGTAAAATACCCGACTGGGTTTTAGTTTTTTAGTTTGAGTAGCGGTTTTATGGCGCTCGCAACTGCATAAAGTCATATGACAAAAAGATAGGAAAGAAGAAGCAAACCACACCCAAGCATCCGCCAACCACCCACTGACTGGGTTTGAGGTGGCTGGCGCCCAGGGAGGAAAATGTACGCTACTGTGTTAAATGTTAGGAAAATGAAATAGATACTGAAAAAGCTTGAAATTGCACCGGGCAGAATATCTTTCCTCTCCATACTGTAGCAGAATATCTGTCCTATCCGCACTGTTTATCACTCTACTGCAATGTGCATTTCCTAAGAGGACACAGCCAATTCTACACCACTTTTATCATATTAACTTGCAGCTAAAGGGATTTGAAAACATCATATGAACTATTATGATACACAAACAGTACATCATAAACTTCAACAAAGACATTTCTATAAACATGATGTCCCTGCCATAGCCTAACCTTACAGGTGTCGACAGGTACATTTAACTCTTTAAACCCCATCGGACACCCAGCGTCGGATACCAGTGACAACTGTTTCGTGTCATTTAGTGCTAGTTTTCGCTCGTTTTTCGGAATTATTCCCGAACCAAGTTTTTTAGTAATGACTAAGCATTTGTTTCAGCTATTTAGAGGTTGGAGGCAAGCTTTTGGGGTTATAATGAGACATAGTGCACTCGGTTTAGGTGATGGTAGAAAAAACCTCAGGGAAAAGGTGGAAATAACTCAGGGTCTAAAGAGTTAAGGCCATCTGCTGGTGAACATTTCTAAAATCCATACCCCTGGAAGAAATATAGCTACAATGATGTATTTATATTAGTCAGACATCAAAGAAGAAATTCAAGTAATTATCTATTATTATAAGGACAGAGTATGTTAACAAAGCAAACATCTGCTCTATTGGATAATTTCATAACATTTCAAAACTTATCTTCTCTCTCAGTTTTCGTCCGTTGGTTTTCATTTTTAGTAACAAATAATGCCAGATTTGTAATTACAGTTATGAAAATAATTATGGACTCTGGAAATATGTACTATGGACAAACAGCCAAAAAACCTCAAAATTCCCAACAAAAACACTGATTGTAATTTTCTTTTCTTATTATCTTCCAGAAAGGATCTATTTCAGTAAAAGCTACTTATGGGTGCATATTGTGTCAAAAATGAAGCCAATCAGATGAAAAATAAGGGAGAAGACATAATTTAAAGTCGGAAAAATAAATATTGGAACAAAAAAAATGAATAAAGTTTTTAAAAACATGACCCAAAATTAACAAATTATTTTTTAAAGACCTATTTTTAAATGACTTCTAAACATAGATTGAAGCAGGCGCTTGAAACTTTGAGGGAAAGGAATGTAGGTTTCAAAAATGGAGAAAAAATAAGTATGGTAAAACTGGGGAAAGATGGGAAAAATTTTACCGGCAGATTGCCTTAACAGGAGAGACAAAAAACCGAATTAACTACGCTCAACGCTCTCCTTACAGCGTGACTTTTGAGTCAGGACAAAGCTTTAGCATCTTTCTAAATAATTTCGCCTCGTGTCATACTAAGAGGCATTTATTTCTTTGCCTTTTACATGAATAAAAAAATTTGAGAAGTTTGCGCTTATAATGCGGTTGGACTCAGTTACTTTGACAGGGACAATGACAAAAGTTAAAACGACTCAAAACACATCAATCTACCCAATCCTAACACAGTGGGTGAACACAGTCGAACATGTTTTTAATCCTATCCGTACGTCGTGTTTTACTATCGTATCCATACGACGTGAGGAACTCTGTGCCACCACTTAACCCTATCCCTACGTCATGTTTTACTATCGTATCCATACGACGTGGGGAACTCTGAGCCCCCACTTTCCAAAAAGGAAATTTACTCGTTAATCCGATCCGTACGCTTTGCACAGCAGTCTGTCAAAATAATTTTTGAGAAATACTGAAAGTTTCAAAGAGATCTTCTTACTAGAAGTATTCTAAAATGTTAAGAATACAACCCCGCGGGTACAAAATGACCCCAGGGTGTACGGATAGGGTTAAGGCGACTAACTCTCGTCAAGTAGAAGAGCGGCCATCTTAGACAGGTGGTCTTCATGGACAGAGTCATTTTGAGATAGAAAAAACAACAACCGCAAACGTGGAAGTGGGGAGCGGTAGTGTGTACAGTTGATTGTCTCGTACAGGTGGTCTTTACAATGCGTTCGATTGTATAGGATTTCTAATACCTCATGATTTTGAATACTACTGTGCGAACAGCTTTGACTGGAGTTACAAAATTGCAAAAGAAAAACAAGTTAACTGTATTAACAGAATTATGTATACGCATAAAAAAAGGCACATACAATTACATTCATCATAATTATCTCTCCAGCAAAATGTCGGTCTACAAGTGATGCCCTCACAGTTGATGAAGTTTACTGAAAAAGAAGATAGATTGAAAAAAAAAAGGTAAGGAAACAACAGAATTTCAACAAGGACAAACAGATCTAAATTTGGAGTTTTCAGTAAACTAATTGTAAAAGTAACTATTAAAAAATGTTTTAGTTTTAGTAAAAATTTTACAGCACTTGCTACACAATAAGATCAAATAAATGCCGAAGAAAAGATGTGTTTCAAGAGAGTAACATACACAAAAAAAGAAGGAGGGGAGATAAGGACGACGGATGTTTGATAGGAAAGAAGAAGCAAACCACACCAGAGCACCCGCCGCCCACCCACTTAAAAAAATGTAACTTCACAAGAGTATGATATTCAGTTAAACCAGTACATAATTTTCATTAAAGGAACCTATCCTTCCGTACACACACACAAAAAAAATACACACACACACACACACACACAAACACAGAGATAAAAATACACACATACTCTGGAAGAATGTCCTCGGAATCTGGGGGAGTACCTTGGTAGACAGAAAGAAATAAGTTTTATATTGTTTGTTTTGGTAGTGGTTTTACCGCACTCGCAACTGCAAAAGGTCATACGAGCGCCAGAAGATTAGAGCAGTTACAAGAGAGTAACAAACATAAAAAAGAAGAAGGGGAGATAAGGACGACAGATGTTTGATAGGAAAGAAGAAGCAAACCATACCAGAGCACCCGCCGCCCACCCACTTAAAAAAATGTAACTTCACAAGAGTATAATATTCAGTTAAAACAGTACATCATTTTCATTAAAGGAATTTATCCATCGGTACACACACACACACGCAAACAAACACAGAGATAAAAATACACATATGCACTGGAAGAATGTCCCAGGAATCTGGGGGAGTACTCAGGCAGACAGAAAAAAAATCGGTTATGAAAAAAAAAAAAAAAAAAGAAACGTTCAATCACTTTGAGCTTCCCATGTGTACAACCCCCTCCCACTAGCCTCAGCCAGATTCAGCTGGTCTCACACCTAACTCAGCTCTGAGTTTGTCAAATAATCATTTCAGATCGGGGAAAGCAAAAAGTATTTTACCCTTCAGAACCCACCAATTGTTTTCATTTATAACCTCCAGGAAACCAATTGTTATAATTTTTGTCCCGGAAAATTAGGTTGAAAATTATTCATAAAGAAGATTCAGCTGTGTAAACACTCTGCTGTCACAACACAGCCAGCAGTACAAAATACCCAAAATGGTCACCCATCCAGGAGATAAGATAAGATAAAATAAGATAATACTTTATTATCTCAGAGGGAAATTTTTCTTGGCTGTACCGGACCTTAAAAACACATGCAGGTATACTTGAAAATTAAATTATATATTACTCTTATTAAAATTCAATATGAAAAGAGAAGTAACGCTGACAAAATGTACATTCACATCAGATGTATCATTCAACCACAGGCGGGAATTTAGTTACAAGACCTTTGGAGTTATATTATAGAGTGTCCGCAACGGACTTCTCAGCTCCACCAGGAGACTGGCACGGATAATTTTCATCGTCGCATTATTGTGCCAAGTGACTGCAAAATGTTAATGAACTCCTCATCAGAAGATTGCAGTGAGATCTGCCTTGTAGAAGAAATATTATAAGTACAATCAAGCATGCACAAAGCCAAATTGGTGGGGTGCAGAAATCTTTTTGCTATATACAAATTTCACTATGTCCCCTCCTTTTTTAAAAGTTTGTTACTCGCTTGTAACACCTCTAATCTTCTGGCGCTCATATGACCTTACGCAGTTCCGAGCGCCGTAAAACCTCTACTAAAACAAACAACAGAAGCGGTTGTGTTACCTTTTGGCAAAACCCTGACCCCAATAGCGTGGAGACCGGCCGAGTTAGTCGGATTGTCTCCCCACGGCCCAAGCGTAGACTCGAGAATCCACAACATCGCCAGCCTCGGAGTATTCTGCGGTGAACGAGAACATCATCAGATATATATATATATCTATATCTATCTTGTAACGTTATTGTTCATTATAGTTGTTCTGTTCCTATGTCTGGATGAAAATAGTCTGCGTTTGTGTGTGTGTGTGTGTGTGTGTGTGTGTGTGTGTGTGTGTGTGTGTGTGTGTGTGTGTGTGTGTGTGTGTGCGTGCGCGCGCGTATTAATATATATTGCACGAGAAGAAAGGAAGTAGTAAGAAAGGTTTTGATATATGGGTATGCCAATGTAAAGTGCATTGAGCTACTTTTTTGGAAATGTGCTATATAAATGTTATATATTATTATTATTATTATTATTATTATTATATCAATCTGTGTCACGACATGGTGGAATGGAGCATCGTAAAACTGTTACCAAAGCAAACAAAAGTACCAAAATCTCAAACAATAATTTACGATTCTTAATTAAATGTTCATCATGCCTCTATACCACTGGAAAGTTTTTGTCTGTTGCCTATGCTATACCCTGGTGATGCTTTTAAGAGGGTGGTTGGCGGGTGCTCTGTGTGGTTTGCTTTTTCTTTTCTATCAAACATCTATCGTCCTTATCTCCCTATCTTCTTTTTTATGTCTGTTACTGTCCTGGACAATATTGGCTGTAATTGCACACACACATACGCATACACACACATATGCACACACACACGTGCATGCACATTCACACACATACACACACACACATGCATGCACACACACACCACACACAAATACGAAAACACATACGCACACACAGACACACACGCATACACATGCACACACACATACACGAACACACACACACACACACACATACACACACACATACACCCCCTAACCCCCCCCCCCCCCCCCCTCACACACACACACACACACACAACCCCCACTGACCATTCAGTTTTTCCAGCAAGGAAGGGAGCGGCTGTATAAGGACGTCCACAAACTCTGCAAAACAAAAGTCAACAGAAATGCATCAATAAAAAAAGAGGTTACATTTTTTAAAGTTTTAGAAGAAGTTTTTCGGCGCTCGCAACTGCATAATGTCATTAGAGCGCCAAGTGGTGGATGTCAACAGAGAAGCCCTTACAGGGAATCAGACTTACTCTGCTCACCTCTCTAGCTTCAGCAGCACAAAGTCTGCTTCGACTATCAAGGCACCCCGGAAATAGCGGGTCACAAGAGTGTGACAAACATACAAAAGAAGTAGGTATAGGAAAAGGATGATAGTAAGGATTAGGACAGAAAAAGCAGCAGTTCCCTGTTGTAGTTCCGGCACAGTTATGAGCGTGACATTGTTAGATCAGCCCATTTACAGTTCTACTGTGCACTAGAACGAGAAATGCCCCCTCTCCCTTTGGGAACGGCCTAAAGACACTTCAGTCAGTGGCACCGCCCAGGGGGGGTCTGGTTGTTTGCAAACATCACATAATTACACTGTACGTCTAATTTTATTTTTTAAAACTCATTCTTGAGAAATAAAATCTAACATTTCCAACAGACTATAAAAAGTGCAATACCTGAACTTTTCATATCTCTGTTTTATCCTAATCATTTAAATCCAAGTAGCAATTATAATACCCAAACATTTCTGTTATTAGAAATAAAAGAATTAAAAAACCAAAACAGGTTTCCAAAGCATGCCTCACTTACCATCAGCTCCTATGGTTGGTTCAGCAGACGCCAGGAGATGACACAGCACAAGAGCAGAGGAGTTGTGGGGGAAGAGACAAATAAAAGTTTTTGAGTTGTAGTTTGTAGTTGGTACTTCATACAAAAATCTGTCCCCATCGTTTTATGCAAGAAAAATTCTGAAATTATGCAAACTGAGCCCAAAAATGTGAAATTATGCGATTCTGTTAATTTTAACAAAGACTGATAAAGGAAAATAATCAGAAATTATGCAAAAAATGATCAAATTTTGCTAAATTATGCGGGGTGCATAAAACCACGGAGACAGAAAGATCACACCACAAATGATGAAGCCAAACAAAGAATCAAAAATGAAATTGGACCATATGCTGACCTCACTCTGGTCAGGAAACGCAAACTGCAATAGTAGGGACACATCACCCGTTCATCCGGCCTTGCCAAGATGATCCTGTAAGGCAGCTTTGGGGAAAAAGGAGCAGAGGCAGACCGTAGAAGAGTTGGGAGGACAACATCAAGGAATGTACAGGCCTGGAACTCAAAGACACACTCAGGAAAGTTGAAGACCGAAAGGAGAGGAGGAAGCTGGTGGCCAAATCTTCAAAATCGCCCCGACGGACATCCAGTCTACGGGATAGGTGAAGGTGAAGTTTTATAGTTTTACTTTTAGAAGAGATTTTACGGCACTCGCAACTGCATAAGGTCATATGAGGGCCAGAAGATTAAAGGTGTTACAAGAGAGTAACAAACACAAAAAAGAAGAAGGGGAGATAAGGACAATAGATGTTTCATAGGAAAGAAGAAGCAAACCACACTAGAGCACCCGCCAACCACCCACGTAGGTGAAGTTTGCATGATTAAAAACTCTTTAATCAAGGATGCACTGGACGCATGTGTCCGATCAGCAGCAGACCAGAGGCAAAATTGCCGACATTTTAAACCATCATAAACAAATGTGAGACATCGTGGTGAAATCAGGCGCTCATCCAAACAATGAAATCAAAGAAACAGGCATTTTTCGGGCCGTTGGGCATTTAAAAACAATTATCTTTTTTTGGCTCAACACCTTATACGTCCATTTAAAAACGCATTTCGGTGTGGATTTTACTGAAAAACATTGATTAAAGACACACAAATTGTACATTTTCAGTTTTAAAGGACTCTCAAGCTATGGAAGTTACCAAACTTTGGTGCCATTTTCTCATAAATTTTACCTCTGAAACCAGGCCACCCTGACCTCCTTCAATAGCAAATTTCACGACTTCTATTCAACATAGATGGATTTTTTTCCCACCAAAAGCAAGGCAATAATTGAACAGGCTTTAAAATGATACCAATAACCCTATGCGCCCGAAAACTGACGAGCGCCCGATTCCACCATGTCGTGCAGCAAATCAGAAACATGAATTTGTATCTTTTTAAACATAATACATGCAGTTGCCAGCGTTAAAATAATTTAGTTAAAGAAAATAGAATAGAAAAATCCTTTTCACTAAAGAAGTTATGATTCTTTTTTTAACATGCCCCAACCCAGGGTGTCTCTAAAAATTGTCAAACGACTAGACTGCATGTCCTCAATTGAGTTTTAAAAAAAAGCACACAGACAGCTTCTTAGTATAGTTTTAGTAGAGGTTTTATGGCGCTCGCAACTGCGTAAGGTCACATGAGCGCCAGAAGAATAGAGGTGTTACAAGAGGGTAACAAACATCAAAAAGAAGAAGGGGAGATAAGGACGATAGACGTTTGATAGGACAGAAGGAGCGAACCTCACCAGAGCTTCACTTTGCCAGGAGCAGATTGGAAACGTAACAACACTGAAGAGTACCACTGAGAGACGATCACAACAAAATTCTCATCAACGTCTCTCTGGCTCTAAGATAAGATAAGATAAGATACATCTTTATTGTCCTGATCCAGGCACATTGGTGCGGTGTTTCACCACGTGTACACACACACACACACACACACACACACACACACACACACACACACACACATACGTGCACACACACGTAGACTTACAATCACAAGCATAATATAAATGAGCAGCAATATAAACAATAATAATCTATCTTAAGCTAGATACACACTCAGTGTAATTCTGATACATGCTCTAAGGTCGTAAGTATACTTATACAAGATGGTTAAGTTTGATAGATGATGGTAAAAATGACCTTCTATATCGAAGACAACAACACCGCCCTACCTCCACCAACAGCCGCCGGATTTTTGTTGCCCTCGGCCTCAACGTCCAGCTGGGAACAGAAACCAAAGTCATTCTCTTTACTTGTCGGAGGCAGTCAATTTGACGGGAATGAAAACACATTGGAGCAAAGGCCCGCTCTGCTTATGGCTATTGCAGGAATAAGATTCTATAACAATAATAATAATAATAGTAATAATAATAATAATAATATTAATGATAGCAACAACAATAAGTTCTTAAGAAGAAGTCACCTTTCCACAGTCCCAAAAAAATATGGAGATCCGATCGACAAGAAAGCACTGAGGTCGCGAACATTTTCTTTTCTTTTTCTTTTACACCTTAACCCTATCTGTACGCCGTCTTTTACCATCGTATCCATACGACGTGGGGAACTCTGCGCCATCACTTTCCAAAGAGGAAATTTACTTGTTAATCCGATCCATACGCTTTGCATAGCAGTCTGTCTGTCAAAATGATTTTTTGAGAAATACTGAAAGTTTCAAAGAGATCTTTGCACTAGAAGTATTCTAAAATGTGAAAAATACAACCCCACGGTTACAAAATGACCCCAGGGCGTACGGATCGGGTTAAAAGCAGTTAGAAGCAAAGATAAGATTCCAATATCGTGGAACACACAGAAAAGACATAAATCACCGGCTAGACCGCCATCCACTCACATCACAAATGACGATCTTCATCGTTGTCTCTCCAACACCGCCATCGAGAGCGCTGGCTGGAGAAAAGGAGCTGAGGTTAGGACCAAACTCTACATCAACTGAGCCCAGAGGTTTTTGTTTTAGTAAGCGTTTTACGGCACTCGCAACACAATTTGGTCGTATATCTGTCCCCGTCGTTTTATGCCAGAAAAATTCTAAAATCATGCAAAACTGAGCCCAGAAATGTGAAATTATGCGATTCTGTTAATTTTAACAAAGAATGATATAGGAAAATAATCAGAAATTATGCAAAAAATGATCAAATTTTGCTAAATTATGCAGGGTGCATAAATCCACTGAGACAGATATATGTGCCAAAGATTAGAGGTGTTACAAGAGAGTAACAAACATAAAAAAGAAGGAGGAGAGATAAAGACGATAGTTGTTTGATAGGAAAGAAGAAGCAAACCACGCCAAAGCCCCCGCCAACCACCCATAAGCTGAGAAGGTTGAGCAAAAGACTAGAAGTAAGATAAATGGAGGATAAAACTACAGTATAAAAAAAGTGTTAGTAGGAGTTTTAGTTTAGTTTTAGTAAGGTTTTACAGCGCTCGCAACTGCATAAGGTCATATGAGCGCCAACGGGTCGATGTCAACAGAGAAGTCTTTACAGGGAATCAGACTTACTCTGCTCACCTCTCTAGCTTCAACAGCAAAAAGTCTGCTTCGACTATCAAGGCACCCCCGAAATAGCAGGTCACAAGAGTGTGACAAACATACAAAAGAAGTAGAGGAAAAAAAGACAATAGTAAGGATTAGGAAAGAAAAAGCAGCAGTTCCATGTTGCAGTTCAGGCACAGTTAGGAGCGTGACATTGATGAACCAGCCCATTTATAATTCTACTGTGAATAAGAACAAGTTAATATCAACCTTTGGGAATGGCCTAAAGACACTTCAGTCAGTAGCATTGGGGGGTATGAGGAGGGCAAACTTAGGCCTGCGGGGACAATGATTAAAACCACTAAGAGCCACCTTAGCCGAGACTGAGCCCATCGTTTCGGAACTTCAAGGTGACCGTAAAGATGGTTCCAGTAGGGAACGGGATAGAGGGTGCCCACGTCCCTCGAGACTCATTGGAGCAGAGGAAGATAGGACTAACACTAACATTACTTAAACGCAATCCCTCATCATCACTCACCACCACCATTATTTCTAAAATCATCACTGCTCTCAGATCAATGACTTACATTTATAATTCTGGAATCTCTATCTGCTGTAACAGTTAGTTGTTATACTAAGTATGCATGTAATACACTATTGGACACTATGACAAGCACTTTTTTTCTACTAATCAGATGGCGTAAAATCTCATATAAAAGGGCAAGGGATTACAAAAAAGCAAAGAAAAACCCCCCACGAAGAGCTGAAGTATGCCGGCAAAACAAGCTACTGTAAAGAATATCATGCAGGCCCACAGCATTCAGGAAACAAATAAGAAATAGAAGGGAAACGAAGCAGTCAGACACTAAGCAAAAATTGTACTGTCAGTACTTTGCGGACAACTTTTATCTTGAAATGTAATTTATACACTATATAAATATAATACATTTTTTGCTGTAGTGAATTGTACTTTCACATACAAGACAGTAATATTGTTACATTTGTGTGTTATCGTGGTGAAATAAAACTCTCATCAAAATAATGAAATCAATAAGGTAATGAAACAGGCAACCCCTACCTCCTTCAATTACAGATATTTCTACTTCCATTCAAGATAGATGGGCATTTCTTTCATCACAAACAAGACAAGTGGACATACTTTAAGATGATACCAATAATTTCAAATGCTCAAAAATTGACGAGAGCCTGATTCCACCGCGTCATGACACAAATATTTTTGCATTTACCAGGATCATGCAATATGTTGCCCTGAGTTAACTCTTTAACCATGTTTGGACAGTGGCAGCGTCCGGTAGTCAAGGTCCGTAACTATGGCAGGACGGTACCACCGTCCGATGTGAAGTTGTTATTGTTTTATGGTACGGGCCGAATATAAAAAAATACAAGCTAACAAGCCTTTAGTTCGACCTGGAAGTCAAATATAAATGAATTCGATGTCTGGGTAATGTTTTATTGATCAGTTTGACATGAAACAAGCGGTTTTAAAAGCGTAATATGTCGGGTCGCATTTCCACAAACAGGAGAGAATTACGCGGAAACGTGATAAATAGCATGGTTAAAGAGTTATGCATATTGGAGCTCTTTGCAAGAAGCAAATTTTTAGCTTTTTAAAAAATCATCACACACACCGTAGAGTTTGAATTGTTCTGAAGTCCGCAAAATACGGTATAATTAGAAAAGTTAAGAAGAAATACAAATCGCTACTTTAGAATAAAAAAATTTCTATCTGACATTTTTTATCAATCTGAGTTACTAAGACCATGAGGTCAGAAACCAAATGTTCTATTTGCTCCATCAAAATCGTAGGATCATTTTGAGTCGTTATCAATATATTTTTAAAAATTGCTTTAAAAAAAAAGATTGATAAGCTGTAAAAATAAAAATCTGTTACCACTTCAAATTTCTCGAAACTTTGTACTGAGCAGATAGAACTTTAGTATTCTTGGGAAGTGAAATGAGTAAACTTCTACCACTTCCAAAGCACATCAGACAAAATTCCCAGCACAAAATTTAAATTAAGTTTCTTCACTTACCTGGGAGGACTTTGGAGACTGAGACTGAATATCCTGTCTCTTCTTTCATTTCTCTCACGGCAGCTTGAGCTGCTGTCTCTCCAGCGTCAATCAAACCTGCGAATAAAACAGAGAATGTGGGTCACAACCGTGTGTCCTTTTTTTCTTCTTTTAGTAAGCATTTTATGGCATTTGCAACACAGTAAGGTCATATAAGTGCCAAAGAATAGATGTGTCACAAGAGAGTAAAAAGTAAAGTTGTTCCCGCATCCGATCCGGACATTGGGGATTGCCTTGTTAGTGAGACAACTTCCTGGGCCTTCGGCATAATATTGTGGTAGGGTGGTCAGTTCCTTTCCACGCCGCCTTTACTTCCCCAACTCGAAGTCAGGTACCCGTTACTGCTGGGTGGGCAGGAGGGGGCGAAAAAAATCTGTGTTCGAACCAAGGCTCGAACCTGAACTTTCCGCTTCAGAGACGAGCGACAAGAGAGTAACATACACAAAAAAGGAGGAGGAGAGATAAGGGCGATAGATGTTGGATAGGAAAGAAGGAGCAAACCACATCAGAGCACCCGCCAACCACCCACGTACAAAACAGAGAATGTGGGTCATGACGATATATGCAAAAGGCAGCCATTCTTCAAGCGCTTAAGTATACCATTCAAAACATAATAATAATAATAATAATAATAATAATAATAATAATAATAATTATAAATAGCATTTGTATAGCGCATGTCCCCACTCGAAAGCAAGCTCTATGCACTTTACACTATATTATTACAGCGTTTTGCAGTAACATTTAAGAATATGGAAATGTGTTTTCATATTATCATGAAAGGTGTTTAGTCAAAAAAACAAAATTTCGATAAAAATTGCCAAACTGCTGTAGAAATTCAGATTTCTCGAATTTCATTATTTTGACGAGCGCCTGATATCACTACGCTGCCCTAAATATGTTGAAGCACTGGTACAATAAGTCCACTCTTACCAGCAGGGAACTCAATGGTGTAAGCCTTCAGTGGGGGTCGGTACTGCCGTACAAGGATCACACACCGACACTTACGGGACGGGTCGTTGAAGGCGGCGATGACTCCAACAGCTGTGGAAGGCCGCATTCACAATATTAGTCATGACTAAAAATTACATTTAAGTTTTAGTTTTAGTAAGAGTTTTACGGCACTTGCAACACAATGAGGTCATATAAGTGCCGAAGATTAGAGATGTTACAAGAGAGTAACAAACACAAAAAAGAAGGAGAGGAGAAAAAGACGATAAACGTTTGATAGGAAAGAATATAAGCAAACCACACAAGAGAACCCGCCAACCACCCACTACATTTAGGTAATGCATTTCCACTTGGGAAGTGCTCAGTGCACTGTAGAAAAGTGCAAAGAACATAATTCCAATAGTGATCCTTTCACATTCTCTCTCTCTCTCTCTCTCTTATTCTCTTTCTTTCTTTTCCTACTCCCTTTCTCTACAGTTTTACTAATATTACATTGATCAAGGCGATAAGACAAAGAAAAATTCATTCACCTCAACAATAAGATGCAATTTTAACTGCTTTTTAACATTGCCAGGAAGCTTGAGTCTATAATATATGTGGATAGATAATTCCACATTAGAGTAGCGTAATATGAAAAGGTGTGCTGTCCATAACTATCGGTTTAATCTTTCTAAAAACAAACATTTACGGTACACAACGATGAAGTGGAAAATATACATATAGTAGGAAATTGTAAGATATCAAAAGCCAGGTCACAAAGAGTATTTTCTACAAAATATTGTTCCCCATATCTTCCAATAAATTTACTTTTACTTTGTTAATTTGGTCTGTTGCAAAATAGTCACAAAACTAGATGTCCCTTCCACTGCAATAATCTAACAAATGGCTCAGGAATAGTTTAACTTGTTGGTTTTCCAGGTCATCGGTGGTAAAGTGTAATGAGTAAATAATACAGACAACACAAAATTTACCGTCAGCTTCCCCTTTACACTTTGTGGTTCTTCCAATCGCTTCCCAGCTTCTGGAGCACAAAAAAAAATTCACCATGTACAAAAGTCGACTACTTAAACACAGATACATATCTGACACATGAATAACTTAGTCCATACTGTTTCATAGCAACTTGAAAGAGGGATGGAAAGCCACTTGTGGTAAGGCTTTGTGGTTAGTTGGTTTATTTCGGGAAAAGTAATTGAGTATCTAATTGACATTGAAGAAGAGATCAAGGGCAGGGCGAGGCGTGAGCCACAGACTGTGGAAGACCTTGTGAGCATGAGTGGCAGTTGAGGGGCAAAAGCGTTGTCACTTGTCAGTGCAAGTTTGTCAGTGTACTGAGTTAGATAGGGACAGTAAAATAGGCTGTTGTGTGAAAGGTGAATTTGTGACTTCTCGATGGACATCCTGTAGTTGGTGATTGCTTCAAGAGGTGGGTGTTTATATTTAAACTACACGCTTCAATGTTTTCTCTTTTTTGAAGTTTTTGTTAACTTTACATATGCTTATATTTCAAAATTATGCTCGTATCCTTCATCTTAAATTTGATTTACATTTGAATTTATATCTCTCTTACAAAAAAGATCAACAATAAGATAAAAGATAGTTTAGTTTTAGTGTGTGTTTTACGGCACTTGCTACACAATAAGGTCATATAAGTGCCGAAGACTAGAGGTGTTACAAGAGAGTAACAAACACAAAAAAGAAGGAGAGAGAAGGACGATAGATGTTTGATAGGAAAGAAGAAGAAAACCTGCCAACCACCCACAGATAAAAGATAAGATAACATTTTATTGATCTCCACAAAGAGAAATTTGCTGTGGCATGGTTCATACATACATACATACACACAAATGTAAAAAATTCACACACATATTTACAAGTGCAGATGCGCACACACAAATAGTTGTTGGATTAATATGCCTGGGTTTATGCTCCAATTTTTTCCCCTGTTGAATACATGAAGTGTCGGTTGAAAATTGATGTACAATTTCCTGTCAACCACTTCAAAAAGAATTTGCATGGAAAGAGTAAGACTGAGACAAACTCACAGCTACAGCAGTGTGCGACACTCAGTAAACTAATTTTGCTCACAAGACGGCGGACAAGTTTTTAATTCAAGAATAAAAGACATGAAGATGAACAAGACGCCAATAAATCATTTTAAAATTACCTTTCTTTTCCAGTCGGGTCCTTGTACGTGACATTGTTTAAGACCACCCACTTGCCACGAGCAACTTCCTGAAAGGAAAAGTACATTTTAATAAGCTATATATATAAAAAGACTTATATAATGTATGCATGTGTGTGTATTGACACTACTTTCTTTTGTGGCAATGCTGTATTATGCTTCCCATGTTGGGTAAAGCCTGGCAAACACTGGAGTCATGTTCAATTTTTAAAAAATCTCAAGAATAGTTCGTAGAAAGCAGCTGATGAGAGCTAACGTCTTTTTGTAGGATGCATCTGCTGCAGATCTAATACATAACAAAGATCTCTATGACCCTTCCTAAAAGCAAGCTCTCACACATCCGAACTAAATCTTAAAATTTTGCCTTCATGCAGCAACTCACGTTGCTAACCCCTATATAAATAAAGAACAAACAATAGGGAGCAAAATGTAAAACATACCGTTATTCTACAAGGTATTTATAACAAATCTATTTCCCTTTAAATAAAATTCAAAAAGCATTATATTATAACAGTGTACAAAATGCCATGATTATATCACTTAGCTAACAATTTTCTATTCTTTCACTTTTTATAATTCTGCTCCTTAGAAAAAACGGGTTCATTTCTAGCCTTGTGCTTCAAAACAAAACAGCAAGCAGGAAACATTATATCAACATTGACATGCCCACATGATCGCTTCAAGTCAGGAAAGAACAGCTCACTGATACCCTCATTATTTCCTAATCCCTAAAATTATAAACTTTTCTTATTGTTCCATCTGAGAAATATCATTGAATTTACTCAAATCATCATCATTGCCTTTCTCACCCTGGATCAGGATATAGGCCACGAACAAACACTTTCCACCTTTCCCTATCCTGGGCTAGTCGCTTGATGTCACTCCACGTCTTCCCACTTTTCTGTCCATCCATTTCTGTGACTCTTTTCCAGGTTCCATGTGGTCTACCCCTTGACCTTTTACCCATTTACTCAAATAGCTATAGTCAATGGTCGTCTGATACATATAAGATCATGGTAAAAGGGACATGGGACCAAAACAAATAAGAGAAAAAAAAAAAATAATTAAAATCCAATAAAAGTTTTCCCGACCTTAGTACTGATGTGCTCACTTTTCCCCTTGGTGGGTGCGGAGTTTTTAGAAGCCATGGTAGTTCTTCTTTCTGATCCTGGACAGCACAAAGAATTTCCAAATAACGAGACGCGATGCTTCAGTCTTAGCTTCGTGAGAATTTGATGGGACCAGAAACACTTCTGTATCAAGAAAACGCTGAAAGACAATAGTAAAAAAATAACAATAATAATAGTTTTTCCATGGTGGACATTCGACAATAATTTTCCATAAAATACAAGAATATGATTACAATGAAAGATGAGCTCATTCAAGAAAGACTCAGATAGATACAAACCTCACTGTAATTAGGGATTGAGACATGAAAAGGTGGATCTTATTTTCTACATCAAGGGTGGGGTAGGGTGGGGGGGGGAGTAGATATATTTTCACAAAAACTGAACCCTAAACAGGAGAGTAGTGGTCCAGTATATCAACTGATAGAATAAGTATGTGAGGCAGCTTACAAGGAAATCGGAGAAACATGTATTTTTCCGCAGTCATCCAGACATGCAACTCGGATGTATTAGGAGTATCAGAAAGCAGTTTGAAACCACTTACCCATTATCAAAAAAAGAGTTTTAATTACTTTTAAAGATGGGATCAGTGTTTGTACGAATGAGGCACAAAAACAAGGGTTACTAATGACGGAGTGTCTACGTACACGGTAACCGGGCACGTAGTCTCAGTCTATGTACACAGTAACCAGGTACTTAGTTTCGGAGGCCCCTTGAGCTTGGTGCACGGTAACTGCTTCGCCCCCCCCCCCTCACTCATCACACGACTGACCAATCACAACGCCGCACCGCTGACTGCCTGTTTGGAGCCCACTTACAGCCACCTCATCGCCCAACCCCCTTCCCCCAGATACAGCTCACTCGATCTCTCCCGCTGTATCCAAGTTCAGGACTTTCCTTGCCCCACGAATTCCAAATTATAAAAGTAATTAAGTTTACAATGAAGAAAAGTAGATTCGGGTAAAAGTCCCGTTGTAGAGGTCAAATGGAGTAGTTGTGCATCTATATAAAGGTTGTCTATGACTATGAACTTGGATATATAGAGAGAAAAAAGGCAGCTGAAATGGCCATTGTCAAAGAACATAAATGATTAAATGACCTCACACAAGGCACACATTGGAGAATGTCTGAGTTCGCACACTGCACACACAACATGGCGAGTCGCACAACACGATACTTCGGTGAAGAACGAGGGTGGTCCTTCCGGTTATCATGTATGTAGACTCTGAGTCTAGACTACGTGCCCGGTTCCCGTTTACGTGGACACACCGACACACCGTTAATGAACCAGAAAAACCCTTTGGCACAGCCACAGTACAGTCAAATTCACAGCAGTCAGATAAAAAGGTGTTAAAAAAAAGTCAACACCATTTGAAACCATTTCACCATTTTTTACCTTCTTGCTTCACTGACTTCACCTTGATCTTCTAGATCTAGATCTACTTCTATTTCTAGATCTAGATGTCTAGTCTGGATTACCTGGCCTACTGAGTAAGCTCAGTTCAGACAGTTCAGTCTTGCATTACTAGACAGATCTAGATATTAGATCCAGCAAAATGTTTGTCGACTTACTGATTAGGCTACTGGTAGAAACTGCTCGGTTCAGTCTCTCTTGTCAAGTCACTCTTGTCTACGCTAGACTCGAGACAAAACTATTCAGATTCATCTAGCCAATCTAGCTGCTGGGCTCAGGCTCAATCAATCTGATTATCATTACGCACACTTACGGTAACCAATGTTTCGAGCCAATCAAGAGAGAGAGAGTCCACAGATTTCTCTGCATAACATTCAGCGAAGCAATGACAGTATTTCACCTGCACTTCTATGCTTTACACTTTGGACAGGAATAAACAAAAAATATAATGTAATGTATCGACCGAGTGTGGAGACGCTCTGTTTACTTTCGCTTTCCAAACAACAATATCAACAAAGCAAGTTATGAGAAGTTGGGAATTTCCGTGAGTAAACGAAACAAAGCAACTATGATAATTTTGGCAGTGATCTAAAACCGGAAGCAAGGCCCATTTTTCAAGGCACAAAAGGGGAAAAAAAGTGAAAAGAGGAAGACCGAGGAACTCTTGACAAAGTTTAGATCTCTGCTAAACTGTTATGTTTGATTCCGTAAAGGGAAGTTGTTTTCCAGTGTTCGTGTTCTGCGAACTGAAAAATGTAGAACTTAAGTTATGAAAATAGACCAAACGTCCGCTGGCATTGCGAGTTTGAGCAACATCAATAATAACAACAAGAACGAAGTTGTCAAGTTCGGTGCCGATGCAGAGACTACTGATGATGAGTTTCGGGACTTTCAGCTGCTGATGAATGGTGAGTAAATCAGTCACAGATCTCTAGCAATTTTAACCAGATTCTATCTGCTATGACTTTCATTTAGGGCTTTTAATTATTATTGTACTTTTGTTAAGAATCATACTTGTTTGTTTATTAAATAATTAAGTTAAAGAATAAAAAATAAAAAAAAGTGTATGGCAATTGGCATTGTTGGGTTCTCAACAAGGGGGTGGGGAGCAGAAGAAGAGCCCATCCCCGCTCATGTCCCTAATTATATAGTATTACTTCCTCTGCATTTTGAGTACCTTTTATGCTCTGGGTTTCAGGGAAAGGGGAGGGGTTGGGTTGAGTGAAGTTAGCCTAGGTCTGGTCTCATGAGTTGCAGCAGCAGTCATAGTCTGTCATAGAGTCGGTTGGTTCAATGCTCTTTTACATTGCCAATTTTTTATGTTTGTTGCAGTGGTTGCAGTACTGTGATATAAATTTTGATCAATCTAGACAAGATTTGTTTGTTGTTTGGACATTGAACTGGCCTGTGTTTGTGCCTCTGGCCTCTGCTTTCAGATTGTTCTTTTATAATTATTCAACGGTGATAAAATGGCTGTTAGAGATGGTTTATTTTATAATCTGATCCACCTCACCTCTTGCCTCATCTTATTCATTAAATTAGAAGCACATCACTACCACGACCATTGCATTTTCTAGGTAACTTGACATAAAAGCTTTGAACATCTAATTTCACTGGAAAAATAGAAGGCAAACAGGAACTTATTTGGAAAAACCTGAACAGGTGGTGAGTGGTGGGGAAACATGATCACGATTATAATTGAATTTTTTTAGAGCACCTGAGCTGTGAAATGAATGGAAAACCATGATCGGTGATGTCTGTTTCAGTTCTGGCACTTTATTGTAATGAGACATTACTGTGTACGGGGTGCCCATTACTGATGGGATCGGCGGGTCGGGCGATCGGCCCAATCCAGTTGTATGGGCACCCCGTATTAGGATAAAAATGAAAGTCAGACCCTAATTTGATATTGGCCTCCTGACAAGCAAAATATTTGTATTTAGAATAGATTACATAAATTTGATTGATTCAGGAGGAGAGTTATCGTCAGCAGAACTTGAGAATGTAGGACACACCCCTCCCCCCCTCTCTCTTTTCCTCCCCTCATGTTGATGTGTGTTGTTTAAATCTGTTTTGAATATTTTTTTGTTCCCACAGGTGAGGAATCTCGTGCATCACAGAGTATTAGCCTGCACAGCTGCCCGAAACAAATGTAAGATTCTGTAGTTGGGTCTCTTGACGGTTGTGTGCTTCGACTTCTGCTTTAGAAACTGCCATTTTCCGAGCTTTTCTCTTAGTAGACACACACACTTTACTTGCATCAGGTTGTGGGATATATTATTTATAAATGCATCTCTCAAGCTCTTGAAATAAGATTTTAGTTTTTTTAAAGTTTTGTTTGGTCATGTCATTAAAGTTAAAGATGTTATGATCCTGGGATCGTTAAGTTGCTTGAATGAGTGGACTCTGGCTTAGTTCATTTGATAAAATTGCTAAATCTTTGCTTATCGGTTAATTGGACTTTGTTTGCATTAAATTAGGCTAAAAGTACATTGCATGTATATATCTTGTTTTCATTACTGTTACATGATTTCCAAAGAATCAGGGTTAAATGAACAATGATTGGGAAAAATAAGTAATAATCTACGTCTGAAAAATTCATGCTGATCTTGATCTATTTGTGTTTGCTAGTTAGCTGAATAATTTTATCTATCATAAAAATAAAAGTTCTGTTTTATGTAGAAATCTCAGTTGTTACAATTGTAATATATATGCTAGTGTTGTGTTGCTTAGAAACTGGAAATCCGTATTCTCATAATTTGTAAATTTTCAGGTCAGTATGGAAAAGCCTAGGCCTCAGTTGCCTGCAAAACCTCCCGTGGCTGCCAAACCCAGGCGCAAGCCCCCTGCGCCCCCTCCACCCCCAAAACCTACCCTTGTGTCCACATCACTCTCTCCATCCCCGTCATCCGTGCAGCTCTCATCCCCAAATGGTGATGTAGCGGGGAAAGAATCTTTAGCAGTAGACAATCAGCCAGAAAATCATTCCTCATCAGTTCCTAATGGCCCTAGCGGGTCAAACGAGAGGGCTGATGGTGTTCAGGATCCCCACAAAGGACTTGAGTCTTCCGACAGGGAAACAGAGCCGATAAAAGTGGACCCCCCGCCTTTACCCTCATCCCCACCCCCAACCCAGAGAAAAGGACCACTGTCTCCGTCGTCAAACCCTTCACTGTCTCCTTTTTCATCATCCTCATCCACACCGCAGCAAAAAGTTGAAAATGATACCGAATCCAATTTGCTGGACAATCCTCTCCCAGCCTCAGCTAATGAAGCTTGCACAGTGTCGCCTTCTACTACACTTTCAAATCCTAAGTTGCCATCACCTCAACCCCCTCCCAAGTCGAAAAGTCCATCAGTGCCAGTGAAGGCACCTCCACCCGTACGTCCAAAGCCCAAACCACTTACAATCCCTCCGCCAGACACTTCAGCATCAAATGTTGAGAGTAAAAGTGATGAGCCTCAAAGCAAAGATGAAAGTTCAGGTTCTAGCAGAACAGAATCAGACTGTTCAGTGTCAAAGGCTGAAAATCTTACTGATGAGACACAAGATAAAGGCAATGTTTCAGTGTCAAAGGCTGAAAATCTTACTGATGAGACACAAGATAAAGGCAATGTTTCAGTGTCAAAGGCTGAAAATCTTACTGATGAGACACAAGATAAAGGCAATGTTTCAGTGTCAAAGGCTGAAAATCTTACTGATGAGACACAAGATAAAGGCAATGTTTCAGTGTCAAAGGCTGAAAATCTTACTGATGAGACACAAGATAAAGGCAATGTTTCAGTGTCAAAGGCTGAAAATCTTACTGATGAGACACAAGATAAAGGCAATGTTTCAGTTTCAAAGGACACAAATGCAGAGCCTGATACATCAAAAATGGTAGGTGTTTCAAAGGAAGCACATGCAAATCCAGATACATCAAAGACAGTGGATGAAAGTCCTCTACTAAATTCTAGAAAAATAGCGTCAGCTTTAGAGGAGGTTCTGAAAAAGTCTCCGCCTAAAGTTCCCGCCAAGAAACCTGTGAACCCCCCAGCTAGGCCCACCTCTCCCCCAGCAAGACCTGCCCCTCCACCTTCAAGGCCGGCCCCACCCCCATCGCGACCCACCCCGCCCCCCAAGAGAGCCCCGCCCCCACCAAAGAGACCCTCGCTGCCTCATGTTACGCCTGCTACCCCCACCGCCGTGTCCTCTCCCTCACCACAACCCTCCCCCGCAACAACCACCGTTCCGGCTGGTAGCTGCCAGGTAGCGAGCGAAGTCCAGGTCGAAGCAGAGACAGGTAATCTATTTATAGTACTGGCGTTTGCACGGCTGACTGGAGCTACTTTTGCTATGATAGCAGGATCTCTTGATCATTTAAAAAATAATTATTTTCTCTCCTGCTCTGCATGTTTGGCACTGGTATTATTATTATCAATATTATGGGTTTCTATTTACCCAGTTTTAAATACTTTTTTTTTGCTTTGACCTTTCTTCACTGTGTGGCTCTTGGCCAGTACAGTAGAACCTGCTCTAGTGACCACCTGTACAAACGATCACTTTCTATTCCACCTTTGCGACTTTTAAAATATAATGACACTGTCCCAGGCGTCTTCTTTTCCAATACATCACTTCACTCACTTTTATCCTTGACAGTAGGTGGTCGTCAATTTTAATTGCATTATTATATTGTTACCACTTTCTAGTTGAAAATCCTTTTACCACTTTTATGTTAACTTTTGCTGCAATACCCCAAAATTTTGCCCACTTGTCTGCTCTCCTGAATTGAAGTTTTTGGTGTGTCTGCACCATTGTGGCTTTATTTAGTGCACAGTAGATGAGGATATATAATAGATATGGGAAAGATGTAGAAGGACGCACCATCCGTCTGTCGAATGTAGTTTACTGCGGTGTTGAGTTTTTGCTGCATTTTTCTTATGGTGGAATTGAACCTGGTTTTTTCTAGTGGTGCTGTTTCTATGGAAAAATTCACCTCTTGGATATAATGTAAAGCAAACTGTTCGGTCCAAGATTTCCTGTTTCAAATTGTTTGACGGTCAAATGTTATGGATGATACTGTAACTTATTGTATACATGGAATTATACTGCTTTTATGTTCTATGAAGGTTTGCTTTGATTCAGTAATACAGCGTATGTAAAAGTATACCAAATTCACTGTATGCTGCTTTTTCTGTTTGATGGTGACAGAGTTTTGTTTCAAAGGAGATTTAATTGTGAATCAGTCTCCTTATGAGATCCTTCTCACTGAAAGGCAAAGCGTCCGTTAGCAAAACAATAGCTTGTGTTGTGTTCTAAAATATTTTACCAATCCCTGAAATGATTCTTTCTTTACTCATTGTTCTTTACTCTGAAACCCTTTCATGTGATGCTAATGGTATCGAATGTCATTTTAAAGAAAGGTGGGACTGACCTCTTTTAGAGGTACTACAAATTAAAAAATCTAAGTGGAGTAATATGGACATCTCCTGGCAGCCCCTGCCTCCCATCAAATATCTTTTTTGTTTAATGCTTTTTTCACTTAGAATTAATTTGAATTTAATGCTTATTACGTTTGTGTATTTAAAAAATAATTAATTGTTTGCAAAAGAAGCTCGACCAGATGTCTATAATTACTATATGTAATATATGGGAATTTGCCTTATATATATCTGGGTGTTTTGACTCGAAATTCTGTTGAACACATCTTCCGATCTATACGTACATTTTGTAAGAATATCGTCGCTGTCGCTAGCAATGAACTTAAGTACAAATTTGGAGAATTAAAAAAAAATTTTCCACCCTCTCAAAGCTCTATCAAAGATGTGTCTTTCAACGTCACCAAAATACATTTTAATGCTATGGTCAATGCTTACAATTTTTTGGGTTTTCATGGTTCTTGATAGGAACAACACAACAAAAGCTAGTAATCTTTGTTTGTCTTAGTAAGGTTTTACGGCGCTCGCAACTGCATTAGGTCATATGAGCGCCATTTTTTTGGTCTCTGATGTTAAAATTACCCTCACGAACTTATGTGGTTTGCTTGCGACACCGATGATATACTGTGTACTGCTTGCTCCCCCATCAGACTCTCTCAAGTGTATTTATTTCCCTTCCGTACCTGCACACATGTATCTGTTTTTCCTCTTGGTGTTTTCCTCTAATCCAGCTTATTATTGCACTCATTTCCTACAACTAACTGTTTGGAAAGTTAGGTGAAACTTCACTGAAATAAGAGATATTAATACAAATGATACATCTCAATTTACATCATTAATTGAACTTCACTGGAATAATAATAAGGAATACTAATAAAAGTGATACATCTATACTTACATCGTTAATTGAAATTCACTGTAATAATAAGAAATATTCTTAAAAATGATGCATCTAAATTTACAATCGTTAATTGAAGTCTGTTATTAGCTACAAAGTTTTTTTGGTATTGAAAATATGAATAGGGTTGGTCATCATTGGTCTTTAATCAAGTGTCTGTCTTCTTGTGTATACTGATATTGATATGCCAGACCAGCATAGGGCCCCTTTTGTGACTGTCGGGTATTGGTTATAAGTTGTATTTTTGGTTTTTTTTTAATAGGTGTTTTTTGGTGCTGGCAACTGCATAAGGTCATATGAGCGCACAGGACACATTAAATATTTTCAGTTGGTAGTTGCCTGGGTGGCGGCTGAAGTTTACTCTTATCGATTTTAGACCACCAAGGGATCTTTAACGTGCGCAACTTGCACACAAAACTCCGGGATTTTTCACCCTTCTCTGAGAAGGCAAGGTGTAGATCTTTCCTACCATAAGGTGTAGCTGAAAGACAGCAGTAAGAAGGAGCCAAGAAGTAGCTGTAGAAAGGCTGCAGAAAGAATCAGAAGCCCAGAGAAGGGGGCAAAGGAGGTGAGGGGGGTGGGGGCAGAGAGTGGAGACGAAAGCAGATGACAGAACATTGCTAGAGAGCGGGAAAGGAGGTGAAAGGAGACAATTTTAGAGAAGAAAATGTTTCCGTCGCTCCTCAGATTCGAACCTTGGACCTTTGAATGAGAGGCGAACACCTTAACTCTAGGCCACGAGAGCCCCCTTACATGCTGTAGGGAAAATTACTTACAGATTTTTCCGACCTTAATTTTAACATCCCTAATATCAGAAGCTAGACATGGTGTGTGAAAGCTGCTAGAAGGTGTCATTGCTTCTCTGAAATCAAGATGTGGGTGGTTGGCGGGTGCTCTGATGTGGTTTGCTTCTTCTTTCCTATCAAACATCTATCGTCCTTATCTCCCCTTCTTTTTTTAAATGTTTGTTACTCTCTTGTAACACTTCTAATCTTCTGGCGCTCATATGACCTTATGCAGTTGCGAGCGCCGTAAAACCTCTACTAAAACTAAAAAGAAGTCAAGATGAGAGATGAGTTTTATTTCATAGAGACCAGAGGCTAGAGGCCTGTGTCTGTGTTTGAACAGTTAGATGCTTTGTTGCATAGAGAGGACCCGGGTTCAATTCCAGTGTGGGGAAACGTTTTTTTTCGAGTATCTCAGTCTTTCTGCTAGGATGTTGTGTCCCTCTCAAACTGAGTTGGCCCTGGCCCTGACAGGCAGTTTCAGAAGTGTATCTCTAAACTGTTTCGATAGGGACGTAAAAGCACTTACATTAAAACAAAAGAAATAACTTGAGGATGTCTTTTCGTTTTAGTACTGGTTTTATGGTGCTCGCAACTGCATTAGGTCATATGAGCGCCAGAAGATTAGAGGTGTTACAAGAGAGTAACAAACATAAAAAAAAGAAGGGGAGATAAGGACGGTAGATGTTTTATAGGAGAGGAGAAGCAAACCACACCAGAGCACCCGCCAACCACCCACTAGTAAGATTTTATGGTGCTCGCAACTGCATTAAGTCATATGAGCACCAAGGGATGGATGTCAACAGAGAAGTCCAAACTGGGAATCAGGCTTTCTCTGCTCACCTCTCTAGCCTCAACAGCACAAAATCTGCCTTGACTATCAAGGCACCCCGGAAATAGCTGCTCACAAGAGAGTGACAAACATACAAAAGAAGTAGAGGAAAAAAAGGACGATAGTAAGGATGAGGAAAGAAAAAGCAGCAGTTCCCCCTATGTTGTTCTGGCACAGTATGAGCATAACATTGATTAATCAGCCCATGTACAATTCTACTGTGCTCAAGATCATGTTACATGTAATATCACCCCTTTGGGAAATGCCTAAAGACATGAATTGAGGAGGATGGCTTGCTTAACCGACAAAAGAATTAAAACCACAGTCAGCAGTGGGGTAATCTAGGATGGTAACAGCATACCGTCCAATCTGTGGGTGGTTGGCGGGTGCTCTGGTGTGGTTTGCTTCTTCTTTCCTATCGAACATCTATCGTCCTTATCTCCCCCTTGTTCTTTTTTATGTTTGTTACTTTCTTGTAACACCTGTAATCTTCTGGCGCTCATATGACCTTATGCAGTTGCGGGCGGCGTAGAACCTCTACTAAAACAATCTATTCCTGTTATTGATAGATTGCCAGGTTCTATAAATTGAATTCATTAAATTACTAAGATTATGGGGGATAATAAATGGTTGTGGTATTTTGAAATAGGCAGGTTTTTATTTTAGGTTTGTCTGTGTTGTTCAGTGGGATGAAAACGTTATAGTTTGAGAAACTAATTGTTACTTCTAATTTTTTTTTGCCTCATAATTTCAGATCCAGTCTCTAAGAAAGCTGCTAAGCCTTCTGTACCTCCTCCTCTTCCTTCGACTCCGCCTCCTCTTCCTTCGGCTCCGCCTCCTTTACCCAAAAACCCACCGAGGGGTGGGGTGCCAAGAAAACCTCGCTCACAGTCTAATGTCTCAAAGAACTCGCTGAAGGAAGCGAGCGTCTCAGCAACAGAGAAATCCAGCTATAAGGAAGGAGAGGGATCGGAGGGTAAAGCCTCCAGTGAGGGTAAAGCCTCCAGTGCGACCAGCAGCCCGGAAAAAGGGGGGAAGAAGGTCTGTGAACACTCCCAAGACTTGTCCCTTCCCAAAGAAAAAGGATCTGATGAGGCCCAACCTTTGGACATCGCCACTGACCAGTCTCAGAAACCCGAGAGAACTTTGAAAAAGCAACAAGCCTTTGACAGTTCTGATTCTAATTCTAATACTCCTGTGCTCAGGGACAAAAGTGGGACGTTGCCTCACTCAGAAGAAAATGATCTTAAAAATTCCGACCTGAACCAAGAATCTTTACCTCGTCCTGTGCCCAGGAAACGGTTAAGTATACCTGCCGTTCCAAAAACAGACGAAGATCCAAACGTTTCCCAGAAATCCACATCTGTTGTTGAAAAGAAAAATGGAAAATCGGCAGTAGATAGCAATACTTCCGCCGCTAAAACTGCTTCGAAAAAGCAGTTTTTGTTGAAGATTGACCCGGAGCTCGATTACGCTGAAGTGTACTGTGGCTCTGATGATGATGGGCTGGGGGATGAAGGGGAAAGTCAGAGCTCAGTAAGTGCAGAAAAGACTACCTCAGCCTCAAAGCAAGTTGACGTCTGCCAGGACTCACAAAGCGCTAAAAGTATTACAAACGCCTCTGGTGAATTATCGGAGGAACCGAAAGGTGTTGGCTGTGTAGGAGATTCCAAAGGCAAGGATGGGGTCAGCGATGATGGTGCTAGCGAGGGACCAAAGCTTTCTCTCAGCGACGAGCCAGGCTCCACTTGTGAGATGCTCAAAGAGATTGAGGAACTTCTGAAGAACAAACTCGGAGGAGACTTTGAGACAGATTTAGAAGGCGGTGTCGATTCTGAGACTACAAAACCTGAGAGTGATTCAGAGGGGAAAACTACGCTGCAGGAAGTTGAAGATTCCCCCAAGTGGCGTGCCAACAGCTTGGATTCGTCCAGTCCTGTGCGGCCACCGAGACCGAAGAGACATGCCAGCATCTCGCGACTGCGGGGCAGCGTGGAGTCTCTAGACCAAGCGGTCGTGGACAGCTCCAGCGTTGAGTGTCTGCACACAGCGAGCGGGCAAAGCAGTTCGGGGAAGAAAGTTGTACCGCCGAAACCCAAACGTACGACCTTGCCCCGTATCAACAGAAGCCGGTCCGACGTGACCGGAATGAAAGCCGTTGCGGACGGGGCTGAGGAAAATTCCAACTCGTCCGACACTGCCGCTGGCGATCAAGAAGGAAGTGATCTGAAGCCGTACTTACCTCCGCGCCTCGAGTCCTTGAGGAGGAGCGAGTCGTGTAGCAACAATTCGGTGCCCCCGCCCCTCCCCCCAAGGAACAAGCCCCGGAGTACCAGCATGAACGAGTCGGGTCGAGCAATGTCGTCGATATCGTTGTCGAGTGCCGCGTCCACTTCAACACTTGACGTCACAGTTTCCCCCAGTGCCAGTAGCTCTGCGCTGACGCCGAACGACGCCAAAAGTGCTATTCCCCCAAGCGGGAGAAAAGATGGCGCGACGCCAAAAACCCCTCAGAAGAGGGCCTCAAGAGCGACGGCTAAACCGAGACCTGTGCGAAAGGCACCTCCCCCTCCACCGGGACCCCCCAAGAGGGCAGCGACCTTCGCCCCCGGTGACACAAAAGCTCAGAGTGGCTCAGAGAAGAGGTAAGAGAATTCCTCTCCTGTTTGAGATGGGACTTCGGTCTTTAGGTTTACAGATAATAATAATAATAAATATAGCATTTGTATAGCGCGCGTCCCCACTCAAAAGCAAGCTCTATACGCTTTACACTATATCAATATTATTACCCCAGCAGACCATAGAACTCTGAGAAACATTCTCAACTTCCCAGGAAGCATACAGTGCAAACAGTTGGTTAAGCACTCAAACACTAAGAAACTGACGAGATCTTTCGCTGTCTATAGCTGTTTACCCATTCCCACCTGGGTGAATTTTGGAAAATTCGGGTAAAATGCCTTTTTTTCGCAAGGACACAACGTCCAGCCCGCGGCTCGAATCTCCGAACCCGCAACCTCACGATGGGGGAGGCTTTTGTCTTGTCCCATGATTTTATTTTTCAATGAAAAGTCTTTCTAATAATGTGATAATATGGATTGTTCCTTTTTTCTCCCATCTTTCCATCTTTATTGTTCCTGGGGGCTTTCACGAGGAGAAAACGTATAAAGCATCTTTCATTAAAAGAAGAATTTGAATAAGTTGGATCTACTATCGATCCTAGACTTGTAGTTTCTGTCGCTATGAGAGTTTTCTGAAAACCAAACTAGCAGAGTACTTTTCGAGGAAAAATTTTTGTTACTCAAAAAATTGGGGGTTTGTTTCGACCTTTGACATCCACTGGGGGTAGATGGTGGGATAAAATTAGGGGAACACTGCTTTCACAGTGAGCTGTTCAAACTTTACTTACCCAAAATTCTGAAATTAATTTAAAAAATTGCTTTATCTCTGCAAATTTCCATGGGTTCAACATTTGAAAGAATTTCACATGCGGCAGTAGGTGTAGATCTCATGCCACTGTTTATGAAGCGAAGGGCATTATTTTGGACCTTGTTAATGGTATTGCAAGTAGTTGTACTGCACATACTAAGTGGGCTATTGCTGTATTCCAGGGAAGATCGGACATAACCAAGGTATGTTTGTTTGTCTGATCCCCATTAACTGCTTGGGAGTTTCTTTAAAAGTTGGCGTCTTCTTTTCGCCTTGTTCTTTATGCTCTCCACTTGGTTTTTCATGGTTAGACTTTGATGAAGTTTGACTCTTAGGTACGTTGGTTGTTCCTCTTTGGGGAGGTTTACATTTCCTATCTTCTGTTGGAGTTTTTCTTTGGCTGTTTTATGGCATTTTCTTAAAATGTGGTATTGGTTGCATGTAGGGCCTATTCGAGAAATATTTTGTCGACGTTGAAATTCTAAATGTTGAAAAAAAAGCTAGAAGAGATACATAATGAATGTAGGTATTGTTGTTTAAGAAAGGAAACAGTTTTTTCTCTCTCTTGAAAAATAAGTAATACATTTGAATTGCTTCATCATCATCATTGCCTTTCTCACCGTGGATGAGGATATAGGCCACGAACAAACACTTTCCACCTTTTCCTATCCTGGGCTAGTCACTTGATGTCACTCCATGTCTTCCCACTTTTCTGTTATATCCATTTCCGTGACTCTTCTCCAGGTTCTACATGGTCTTCCCCTTGATCTTTTACCCTGTGGGTTCCAATCTAACACTTTCCTTGTTATGCAGCTGCTTGACTTCCTGAAAGTGAATTGCTTGCTAATGATAAATATGTGAGGCAGCGTGGTGAAATCAGGCGCTCGTCAAAATACTGGAATTGAAGAATCTGGCACTTTTCGACCAGTTTGGCAATTTTTATCTAATTTTTGTTTTTTGGCTCAATACCTTTCATGTCCATATAAAAACACATTTCCGTGTAAATTTCACAGAAAAGCGGTGATTAAAAGGCACAAAATATGTAATTCTATCGTTTTCAGGGACTCTCAAGCTATTGAAATTGTCAAACTTTGGTGGCCATTTTTACGCTAATTTTACCACTGAAACCAGCCGACCCCACCTCCTTTAATCGCAAATATCTCGACTTCTATTCAAGATAGATGGGTATTTCTTTCATCAAAAGCAACACAAATAAACAAGCTTAAAGATGATACCAATAACCTCACATGCCGAAAAAATTGACGAGTGCCTGATTCCACCTCGTCTTAACACATATATATATATATATATGCATTTTCTTGTCCTGTAGCGAGGAATCGAGCAGCGGAGCATCGGACGGGAAGTCGGACCAGAGAAAAGGCTCCCGGTCTCCCCCACAGCCGTCGGTGAAAAAGACGCTAAGCATGATGAGGCGGCGCTCGCAGAGTCCGGGCGAGGACCATGACTATCACGAAATACCGGACAGCAGCGTTGTCGCGGATGCTAGAAGACAAGGTTTGTTTCATTAGTATGATTAGTAAGCTTGCCATCTCTGCTGTAAGTTGACAAAATACCTTTTTAAAATTTTGGCGCCAAAATTTTTTATTTTTGCTAATAGAAAGTCTGATCAGTTACCCTACTTGTGTGAAAAATAACCAAAGTGAAACTGTTACTAGTTTTTGAATAAATTAGAATTCAATTTGCGGAATGACTCTATTTTTTCAATGGTTACGCTGACAAAAAACTCTGTTTCTCGAAACTGCCGTGAAGAAAAAAAAAGGCGTTTTGTCAGCTTACGACAGAACTGTCCTGAATTTTCCCGGGATTGTCCCAGATTGGGTAATTGAGATTTTGAGATCTTTGTCACACACGGGGAATACCTATAGGTGTCATCTGTGACTCAGAAGTTGACGTGAAATGACCCTCACGTGACTCAGAAGTTGACGTGAAATGACCCTTCATCATTCACGGTCGCGAGCTGCCATTGCACATTCTGCTGTCCCCGCAGTTTTATGCAAAAAAAAATTCTGAAATTATGCAAACTGATCCCAAAAATGTGAAATTATTTGATTCTGTTAATTTTAACAAAGAATGATAAAGGAAAATAATAAAAAATTATGCAAAAATGATCAAATTTAGCTAAATTGTGCGGAGGGCATAAAATCCCGGGGACAGATCCATATCCAGGCCATGTCAAGGTCAGTCCATGTTTTAATGTTGTTCATCCATGTTGCTCTTTGTCCCCCCCTGCCTCTCTTACCCCACATCCTTCCTCCAGGCACCTCTTTCACAATGGTGTGGTGTTGTTTGAAGTTTTAAAAATTTTGTTAAACAGGGTTTGTCTTGTGTAGAGAATCTGACACACCTAATCACAACACTACACCAAACCCAAGCCGCGGGTGGTTGGTGGGTGCTCTGCTGTGGTTTGCTCCTTCTTTCCTATTTATATCTTTTCTCCTTTTTTGTCTTTGTTACTCACTTGTAACACCTCTATTCTTCGGCTTTTATAAATATGATCTTATTGTGTTGCAAGTGCCGTAAAACTCTTACTAAAACTAAATTTCGGCATTTATGTGGCCTAATTGTGTTGTAAGTGCAGTAAAACTCTTACCACCAGAACAAAAGCAAACCAATCCCACTTGATGTGATTTTGTTTGTTGTTTTGTAATCTGATGTTATACCATGGGGTGTCCCTGATTTGGGTACAAAAAAAGTTTGCAAACCTACTCTGTGGGTGGTTGGAGGGTGCTCTGGTGTGGTTTGCTCCTTCTTTCCTATCAAACATCTATCGTCCTTATCTCTCCTTCTTTTTCGTGTATGTTACTCTCTTGTAACACATCTATTCTTTGGCATTTTTATGACCTTATTGTGTTGCAAGTGCCGTAAAACTCCAACTAAAAAAACCCCAACCCTGCTCTTGTCACATTTTTCATTGTTGTCTCTGCTGTCGGTTTGACAGGTTTTTGGGCTCTTCTTTATCTGTGGGTCTACCCATGTATGTTGCTATTGTTGTCGGCTAAGCTGCTTTTTCATTCCCATTTTTCCATCGTTTGGTTATTGTTGTTGTGTCGTAAGTATTGTTATATTTGTTGTTTTCAATGCAACAGTTGTTTGGATTATGATAATTCGGATTATTTGTGTCACTACCTGGTGGAATCAGGCGCTCATCAAATTTTAGGCATGTGAAGTTATTGGTATCATCTGAAAGCTTATTCATTTGCCTTGCTTTCTATGACAAGAAGACCTGTCTATTTTGAATAGAAATCGAAATATTTGCAATTGAAGGAGGTGGGGTAGCATGGTTTTAGAGGTAAAATTAGCGAGAAAATGGCCGCCAAAGATTTGTAACTTATTTAGCTTGAGAGTCCTTGAAAACTGAAAATTTACATGTTTTTTGCCATTAAGCGACGTTTTTCAGTTAAATTCTCATGGAAATGTGTTTTCATATGGACCTAAAAGGTGTTAAGCCAAAAATCCAATCAAAATTGCCAAACTGGAGGAAAAATACCTGTTTCTTTGATTTCATTATATTTTGACGAGCGCCTGATTTTACCACGATGCCTCACATTTTATAGTTCATATATCATTGTTATTTGTTGTTGTTGTTGTTGTCTATTCAGTAACTATTTGATTCTTGTTGTGGGTGGTTGGCCGGTGCTGTGGTGTGGTTTGCTCCTTCTTTTTCTTGTCAAACATCTATCATCATTATCTCTCCTCCTTCTTTTCTTGGTATGTTACTTTCTAGTAACACCTGAAATCTTGAACACTTATAGCCTGTGCCCTGCCCTTTCATTAGGTTGCTGGGTGATTGGCGGGTGCTCTGGTGTGGTTTGCTCCTTCTTTCATATATCAAACATTTATCGTCCTTATCTCTCCTTCTTTTTTGAGTTTGTTACTCTCTTGTTACACCTCTAATCTTCAACACTTATATGACCTTTTTGTGTTGCAAGTGCCTTAAAACTCTTACTGTGGGTGGTTGGTGGGTGCTCTGGTGTGGTTTGCTCCTTCTTTCCTATCACACATCTATCACCTTTATCTCCCCTCCCTCTTTTTTATGTTTGTTACTCTCTTGTAAGTCTTCTAATCTTCGGCACTTATATGACTTTATTGTGTTGCAAGTGCCATAAAACTCTTACTAAAACTAAACTTTCATTAAGTTATATCTGGCTGGCCCCAACTGGTCAAATAAAATTGACTGGCAGTGTGCACTTGTTATATAGCTTTATTAGATTGAAAGTACCAGTGTTAGATAGAATAGAGTGCACTGATGATTATGTTAACCCTATTCGTACGCCCTAGGGTCATTTTGTACCGCTGGAGTTGTATTCTTCACATTTTAGAATACTTCTAGTACGAAGATCTCTTTGAAACTTTCAGTGTTTATCAAAAAATCGTTTTGACAGACTGCTATGCAAAGTATACGGATGGGAGATTAACGAGTAAATTTCTTATTTGGAAAGTGGTGGCACGAGAGTTCCCCATTTCGTATGGATATGATAGTAAAACACGACGTACGGATAGGGTTAAATGATGGTTCACCTTTAAATGAAGGGATAGATGTAACATTATAGTATGGTATGTGCGCTGGACAAAAATGTTTGAAATATATAAAAATGTATGGTATGTAAATGAATGGGTGTGGGTGCAATTGGCAGGTGCTGCAGCTGTGTGTAACTGATAGTGTGTGTGGATGAATGGGTGTTTGAGTCACTCTCACGGGAGGGGGGAAGGATGGAGCGGTAGAGGGAGGGAGGAGGGA